GGAAAAATGATAAATATTGTACACGTAACCATGGGTATAAAGATAGGTGACTGTCCGGAGGGCAGCACAGTGTGCTCATGGCTGGCTGCTGAGCAGAGCTCTGTGGGGCCGAGAGAAAATCTTTTAGATAAACAATTAATAAACACAGAGACCGAAAGAAGAACTGAAGCCTCTTCTGTTCCTTTGATACGCGGCTGCCCCAAGGGCACCCCGGGCCTTTCCAGGCCCTCCAAACAGCCGAAAACCGGACAGGAGAGGAGCTCCTGGCACCTCCCTGCTCCCACCCTGAGGCGCTGCTCCCCCTCACTCTGCTCTGGGACACCGTGTCTGACACCCAGGGATCTCCTGGCTCAGGGTTTGACATCCCCTTCCCTGTGTGCTTGTTTTTAATCAGCCAGAGCACAAAGATGAAAGTCTGACAGCAGCCCAGGCCAATAAGTAAAAGCCTTGGTGTCACTTAATCTGTATTTTGCCACTTGTTATCCTCTTAGTTCCAGGCTATTTTATGTCTTGCAAAGCAGCTCTTGAGTCCCAGAGTGTTCTGGGGGTTAATTTGGAAGGCACAAAGGAGAGTTTGCAGTGAGCAGCAGTGCTTGGTGTCGCTTTGGAGCACGTCCTGGTGAGCAGGGAGCGAGCCAAGGCCTGGGAAAATGTTGGGAATATGGTATGTCTGTGCTGCTGTGAGCCAGACAGGATTGTACCCATAGGTGGGTAAATCTTGAGCTTCTCTCGTGTACTGCAATACCCGGGGAATTGTGGTGCTATAAACAATTGTAATAAGCAGTGGCTGGAATGAAAACATGCTTTTAAATTTGTTTTCTAAGGTAGATTATTCATGGCTTGGTATCTGTGGAATATTTTAGAGGGGCATTTTGTGGGAATGGCATTAAAATGTAACGTGGGGGTTTAGTGTTTATCACTGCCATGCACCTGCCTGTTGATCCACGTTTTAAATGAACTCATTTTTAGTAGTTTTACAGTTTTAGATGATACTTTGATTAAAAATGCTTATTTGTTCTTCCTTTACAAGAAGAGGACTGTGCTTCAGTTGTTTACTTATTATCCCTCTGAATATATTGGTCTAATTCTTAGAGAATTGAACAAAAAAAGTATTCATAGTTTTAGAGTTCTGAAAGCTTTTCATATTTCTAATGGGCAAGTGATGAGGGAGACATAAATCAGCATGTGGTAGTAAACTGCTTAAATTTCTCAGGTGTATCATGTCCATGTGACCTCAAATAATCATATCATGTATTTAATTACCAAAATGAATAATTACTTGGCCTAGAAAGCCTGTGTGTCCTGAGGTTTTGGCCTATATTGTGTCTATGAAATACATCTTTTTAAATAATCTGAATGAAAGCCCAGTTTACAGTTTGATGTGATATGAACAGACATTAGGGAAAAAAGTATTTATTTTGGAAAGATAAAATCTTTTATCTGTACCAGCCCTCAGTGGAATGTGGTGTTTGGGGATTGAGTGTGATGTGCCTGTCCCGTGCTTCACTGAACTTCAGTAACAAATATGATTTTCTGTATAATCATCAAGTGCCAGAGATTTCTTTTAGTTTGCCCTCATGGAGGAATAGATGGTGCACTGCATATCCTGAGACTGATTTACAAGATTATGTGAGAAGTTAGGCTGGAGAAATCAAATTATGCAACAGCTGCTGCTCAGCTGCATTTGAAGCTCCCCGTGCTGCAATCCAAGAATTGCTGCTCCCTTTGCCCACTGAATGGGTGCAGTTTGTTACAGCTCTGAATGAGAAATTGTCTTTTGTCCCATTTTTACTCATGGTTAACCTGATTTGTGAAAGGCTAATCAGTGCTAAGAATGTTATTTACTGCATGGTTTTACTTTCTAAAGTGCTTATGCAGAAAGTCAGTGCAGTTGGGCTAGAATAAAAATGTGACACTTGTGCTAACACTTAGCAGCTGTTCTGTTAAAGGTGATTATTTGAAAATTCTCTCTCCTCAAGTGACCATGATGTCAGTTCATGTGAACACAAACACAGACAAGATGTTTTGTGATAACCTTTCTTTTCTGAGCTGAAATAACAAAACAATGGAGTTACCACTGTAGAAACATCTGTGAAGTACAAGCAAAAAAATCAGAATACAATTAACTTCTACTGGAGGTATTTGAGAGAGGTTCTCTGGCAAAATACAACATTCTTGCAGTTCTTAATTACTAAAGGTAAATATTGCACCTGCCAGAGAGAGGTTTCTGCAGATTTACTCTGCAGTGAGGACAATTGGAGCTTCCTGCTGGCTTTTGAATATTCTCAGTGTTGCATCACTTGAAGAATGAAGTGCAGCTCACACATTTGTTATTCTTCCTACTTACAGAGGTGGATTAAAAGGAAGCAAAGTGTTTTACATGGTCATGCACAAGAGAACATAAATAATCTTTTGTGTTTGCTAATGAGAGCAGTAAGGTGGAAGTGGAATTCCTGTAAATGGCAGCACCAGCTCCCCTCTCCCATTGTTTGGGGAGGGGAAGAGCCCTGGGATTCTCCTCACATCTCTGATATTAAAAGAAATAATTCCTCTATTCCTCTTTCTTGATTTTTAGTAGAATAATATTCCTTCATAAATCTGGATTTCTGCTTCCTCATGTACTGGGGACAGACTTTCAGTGGGTGATAGGACATGGGGAAATGGGTTTGAACTCAGGAAGTTTTTGTGGTGAGGTGGTGGATTCCTCATCCTGGAAACCCCAGGCCAGGCTGGGTGAGCAGCCTGAGGCAGTGGAAGGTGTCCCTGGAGGAGCTGGGGTGACCTTTAAAGGTCCCTTGCAGCCCAGATAACCCTGTGATTGCAGGGATGGTAACAGAGCAGGGTTGGTCCCTCAGGAAGGAGGGAGAGGAGAAAGGAAATGGGTTTTTCTCCTGGCTCAGCTCTGCCTGTGTGCCTGCCCTGAGGGACGGGGGAGGCAGGGCTGGGGCTGTCACCTGTGCCCTGCTCTGAAGGCACTCAGCAAAGGGACATTTGGCACTGATGTCCAAAAACACCTGGCAGGGAAATGCAAACCCTTCCACTCCCCCAACTCCAGAGATTTTATTCAGATTTCCCCACTCTTTGCACTGCTGAGGCTTGTGTAAGTTTTGGTGCCTCACACGATGCTCCTGCTGGGCACTTCCAGCCCCCTCATGCTCACTGCAGCTTACCTAAGTTCCTATTTTAAGTAAATTACTGCCACTAATGACAGAAACGGGCAAAGAAATCAATAAAATTTCAATTTGACACAACTTTTTAGGTGGAGCCCTTCAGTTCTTAAGCCTTACAGGATTATTATTGTTTCTGTGGACTAAACCAGGCCAAATAGCTCAAGTTAAACCTATTAGAAAACTGGCATGGATTTAAGGGCTCAGAACCATCTGGGAATGAGATCACACGTAGTGCTTCTTAATATAGACAGCTTTGTCATTACAGATCTATTTGAGAACCAATTAATTGGCACTGACCTAAAGCACTGTTGTGACACACTTGCATATGTAAAAAGGTTAAAAGTATTGTTGGGCAGAAATTTAATCTTGTTTTATATCTATATATATATTTAATTTCAAGGATAAAGCATAAAGAGAGCATTTGTATAGAATGTTTTGAAGGAAGACACAAATTCTTCCTCTGGCTATTTTTATCCATCCTTGCACCTTGTTTTATTTCTTGGGTTTGGGGCTTTTTCCCTTTTTAAATTGACTTTTAAGTTCCTCTGCATTGTAGGTTTGTGTGGCCATTCCCCAGTGTTTACTGTATATTAAATAATTATAAATAATTCTATAGTATAAATAATAAAGTGAAGCAAACTACTTTATATTTGGAAAAAAATAATGCTGAGATACAACATTTAAATGCCACATTAAAATTTTGCCTTATTACCGCATAAAAAAGTTAAAAATTTCAAATAGAATTTTTTTTAAGGGCAGCCAAGTACTGCATAATTCTTTTCCATAAAAGATCTGGGTTGTTTTTTTTTTTAATGCTACTTCACATATTTTTTGAGGATTTTAATATTGGATGTCCTGGGAAAGGAAGCCACTGCACATAAGCTGCCTGTTCAAATCACCAAAGAGATATAGGTGAACAATGGGAAAAGTTAATTTCTGGGTTTCTGCACACTTGTGAACTCCTCGGTGGCGGATGGGTGAGAAGGTTCTGTGGCCAAGGAAGGTAATTTATTAATTTCTCTCTATTTATTTGATGAATTTCTTTCTGTTGGTTTGGTTCTGCAGTGGAGGAATCCGACATCATCGACCTGGAGAAGCGCTACTGGCTGCTGAAGGCTCAGTCCCGGACCGGGCGCTTCGATTTGGAGACTTTTGCCCCCCTGGTGTCGCCCCCAATCCATCAATCCCTGAGTGAAGGTATGGGGAGAGCACCCCACCCAGCTGGGCTGGCTTTGGGGCTGGCTGCTCTGAAATGCCCTTTCAGTGCCAGGACAGAATCCCTTCACTGGAAAGAGGGAAAATCTCGATTTAGTGGAAATCTGGGATGCTGAAGGAGGTGTTGCATTGTTATCAGTTGGTAGGAAATATGGCAGGTTGTATGTAGAAGTTGCCCTGTATTTGCTTAAAATTATTTCTTAAGATTCTGTAAAGACAAAATAAACTGCTGGGCCTGACTGAGAGAAAACTGAGCATTTTAAACTGACAAATGGGAGTTTCAGCTATTAAATGACACCTCAAGTGTGCAAATCAGCTATTGTATCATGCAGCCAATGAAACACTCCTCCCTGAAAAGTAAATTAAAGGAAGATTTCATTCAGGAGACTCAGGAGATTTGCAGGTTGTTTTTCTACTGACAACCAAACTGGTCTGTCCAGTTGAAGCCACTCTGGTAATAACTGGAGCTGTCCCATTGCCATTTGCTGCATGACATGGGGACATGCAGGGACATTCCACTTGCACTCCAGTTCTGCTCTGCAGTCCTGGAGTGACAATTTTATTATTACCAAAAAGTTGGCTTTACTGGTTAGTGGCAGCAGTAAGTAACAAAGGGGAAATGCAATGGTAAAATGGTAAATGAAATCTGCAATGGTAAAAAATCAGAATTTATGTCCAGTTCTGTAGGAATGTATCCCCACATCCTTTTTTTTCCTGAATGTCTTTTATCTACTTAGTGATTTAAACTTACACAGCTGCTGTGGGGAAACTTGAATGGTTTCTGCTCATTCTCTGCCTTCTGTAGAGTCATTGTTGCTAAAAAAAATATAAGTTATGGGATAAATAATGCTGAATTATTGAATTGAACTCTTAAATGCTTTGAAGGCTGGTGGCTACAGCTCTTAACTCAGGGCCAAATTTGCAGTGCAGTTCAGTGAATTCCACAGGGATTTCTGTTCAGTGATTTCCACAGGGATTTCTGTTCAGTGATT